TTTTTGCGGAACCAGGGATTGAACTCAGGCCCTTGCGCTTGCTAGGGAAGCGCTTACTCCACTGAGTCATCTCCCTGGTCCCTCTCATTCAATTTTATACTTTGCAAACATACCTTTGAAAACTAAAAGTAAAACATTCCCTCCAGTTATACAAACTTGAAATATTCTAATTCCCACCAGGTTGGCTATATTTCAGAGGGACTCACAGAAAGCCATAAAACCACCCCCACCCCCAGACAGAAAGCATAAAGTGCTAAGGCCCATTTCAAACCATTTATCTTCATTTTTGATCTAACAATCAATACAATATACCAACCCAGCACAGCCTCTTCCATCCTCAAACATTCCAAGTTTCTTTAGCATAATGCTCATTCAGCATAATACTCAGAAGACCTAAAATCTGGAACATAGCTCAACAACTAGCATTGAAGATTTTACTGGTTCTCACACTAAGTATTTGTGGTTTAGGCTATTTTTAGAGTATGAACACATAGCAATTTATTCACTGGCAAGGTACATATCTGAATGAGACAATGCAAGGGTGCTGAGTGGAAATTCTGCAGTTCAACTTAGCTTTGCTGAAGACATTAAGTCAAAACAAAAAAGCTGAGTGTAGTGGTGTGTGCCTATAATGCTAGCTACTTGGGAGGCTGACTGGAGAGGCTCATTTGAGCCTAGGAATTCGAGATCAGACTGGGCAAATACTGAGACATCTTCTTCATATCAAACAATAATCAAATTCACTCTTCCCTCTCCCCCCATGAAAAGAGATTCAAAAAGAATGCCAGAGTAGTACAGGTACTTGCCTCACATGCACAAGGCCCTGGGACTCAATCCCCAGCACCACCACCAAAAAAGAGCTGGGGCAAATAATGAAAGTGAAAAGATCTAAGAACTAGAAAATAGGCATTTTAAAAACAATTTGAGGGCTGGGGAAATTTCTCAGTGGCGTAAGTGCCTGCCTAGTAAGCGTAAGGTCCTGAGTATGATATCGGAAACCAAAATCAACTTAGAAAGTGCTTCCATTTAACGTGAGCATGTCCGGGCCAGGGAGACAGCTCACTGGACTAAGCACCTGCTTTGGCAAGTGCAGGGACCAGGGTTCCATCCCTGGTCCTGCGTGCCACACCAGCACCACCCCTGGTGTCCACTGAGCTGGTGGCCGAGTCCGAGCATGGCAGAGCACACCTGAATCCCAGCGCTGGGAAGGCTGAAACAGGAGGTTCACTAATAGTCTGAGGTGCACAATGAGACCCTGTACCAAATACACAAAATGAAATAATAAAAAAAATTAATGTGAGCATGTCTACCATACGCCCTCTAGAAATGGAAAAACAAAAACAAAAAAACTACATTGAACACATTTTTTAAAGAAACGTATTTGGTTGTTACAGTGTCTCACTACACAGCTCAAACTCATAGTGATCCTCCTGTTTTCAGCTTTCCCAGAGCTGGGATTACAGGCATGTGCTACTACATACAGATTCTGACCAGCTCAGCCCGCCCTGGGGGGTGGGGCTGGTACAGCATGTGGTGTTGGGGATTGCATCTTCATCCCAGTACTTGCCTAAGCAGGCACTTTAGTTCACTGAGCTGTCTCGCTGGCCCCTCATATTGTTTTAAAATAAGTGTTTTAGGGTGCCAGGGAGATGGCTCAGTGGAATAAGCGCTTCCCTGGCAAGTGCAAGGGCCTGAGTTCAATCCCTGGCTACAAAAAAAAAAAAAAAAAAATAATAAGTGTTTTAATTGTTAAAAGCAGATAGATTACGTAAAATAAAAATCATTTAAGAGGTGACAATTAAGACTGCAAAGGAAACATCAAATGTAAGGATGTGATATTTTTCACAGATTTTGGGGGGGGGGGTTTGTTTTGTTTTATGGAACCGGAGATTGAACTCAGGCCCTTGCACTTGCCAGGCAAGTACTTAGTCTACTGAGCCATTTCCCTGACCCCTAAATTTTGGGATTCTTAAATTCTTGGAATACATTCTTCCCTTTCAGATGCTTGATATGAGCTATCCATATATATCTATGTCTATATATGTATCAGGCACTCTGGATAAATCACTTTCTTTGGGTCTTAGTACCTATATCTGTAAGAGGAGGTTAGGATAACTGATTTCTAATTTTACCTTCAATTCTAAATTTATTTTATATGACCTTTAGTTATTTTTGCAGGTCCAAAAGGCCAGTGCCAGAGGTAATATAATTCAATACTCTTAATTTGTATTTATCTTGTTTTGCCACCCCAAATTTTTTTTTGGGGGGGGGGTACCAGGGATTGAACTCAGGACCCTGTGCTTGCCAGGCAAGTGCATATTCTACTGAGCTATCTCCTTGGCCCTCTACTTTTGAATAATTCTTAGTTTTTAAACAGAACATGAAGAACATGTATTTAACACTCTTCATGCTTAAACAGAGTAACAGCCTCAAACAATTTCCTTATCTGTATATCTAATCAATTACAAATGTCCCCTCAACTAAGCAACTTACAATATACTTACTCTCAGTGTCTACAAATACTCCTCCTGTCAAAAACAATCCAAAAGCTGGGGGAAAAAAAAAAAAAAAAGAACAGAAGAGAAAAAATCAGAAAAATCCTAAGTAGCCAAAACAGAAGAGAGTTCACACATACCAAGGAACTGAGGATTTCGATCAACCACTTCACTCATTTCTCCAACCAACTCAATGCTAGTATACCGCACAGCTGTATGCACAGTCTCGGGGAGACGGACAACTCCTTCTAGGACTTCCACAAGTGTTAGGTTGTTCTCCCTAAGTACAGAAAGCAAGTATTTAAATTACTGACTTCAGAGGTTATATTCTGGCAAAGTACCTGGCTGAAGTGAAACATCAAATTGCTGAAGGACTTCATAAATAAACAACCATTCAAATTTTTTGTTTTAAATACTAGGTGTGAATGTTTTCCAGACTCTTAAAAAAAGGAAGAGACATAAGTGAAGGATATAATTGTTTGGGGAGAAGCACACTACTCCTTAATCTTCTGAATGCCAGAAGAATGGCTTAATTGGTTAAAGACTCATCATGCTATCAAAGACAGACTCTTTCAATAGGAGAGACAGAAACTTACTGGGAATAAATATCTTCTTATAAAAAATTTATTCCATTTATTCTACTATCTGCGGCACCTAGAACAGTGCCTGGCACATAGTGGGCACTCAAAACATAAGGCTGAGTGTCTAAACGAATAACTTTCATATTTCACTTTTCTATTAGCTATTATTTTCCAAAAGATTTCTTATAGCTGGGTACTAAGAACTTTAAGACCAGAAAAGTATAGGTAGGCCAGCTCACTAACTGAAAAAAGCTTCAGGAATAGACTATAGTTCCCTAACTGGGACACAAAGGAAAAATAAGGTTAACCAGCAATTTCCACAGCACTATGAACTTACCCACTCCCAAATTATACTTGCTGAAGTTCTTTTAAACAGAGTGGAGGGGGCCAGGGATGTAGCTCAGTGGCATAATGCCTGCCTGGCAAGCATAAGGTCCTAAGTTGGATTCCTGGCACCAAAAAAAAAAAAAAAAAAAAAAAAAAAAAAAAAAAAAAAAAAAAAAAAAAAAAAAAAAAAAAAAAAAGAAAGAAAAAGAATAAAGTGGAGGATGCCCCAAAATGATATAACTTAATCCAGAAATGATGTTTAAAATGTAAATATACTGGATTAGTACAAGAGCACCCCCTGCTGATAACTAGGTCTGTTAAATCCTTTCAATGGACTAAAAATTTGTAATGCAACTGGCTAAACATGCATATAAACAAACAATAGAAAATCTCCTCTTATTTATGCCTTTTGTTCCCTCTGGACACTAAGCTAATTAATGAAGCCCATCCTGTTTAAACTTTCAGAACATTAATGATTTTTTGTTTTGAGACAGAGGCTCCCTATGTAGTTCAGACTGGCCTTGAACTCACTATTTAGATCAGGCTGGCCAAAAACTTACAACAATCCTCCTGCCTCAGCCTCCTAAATACTGGAATTACAGATGTGGGCCACCACACCCAGAATTAATAATTTTAGTAATCTTCAGACTGTCACAGAAAGTTCCAAAGACACCAAAATAGGTTTAAAAGCAAATTATACATAGTATGTAACTCAGGACCAGAACTTAATAGAGAAAAACAAAACTTTAACTCTTAATATTACTGGATTAGAAACAATGGAAAATCTCATTGACTAAGCCCAGAAAAGCAACCAAAAAAGAAGCACTTCGGTTTTAATGACTGTTTGTCTTAACCATCTTCCTAATATCAATGTATAAACTCATGACAGAAAGTAAATCTTGTCTGAAAGGATTCATGTCACAAATAGAATTTCTATGCTAAGTAACCAGAAGTCAAACAAAAATTTTCTGTGGTAATAATAAAAATCACTACCTTTCGGATTTGCTATTCTTTTAGGTAAAATGAGGCATATGTCTTGCCTTGCTAAAATTCATAAATGATCCTCTAAGAAAAACTGGGATACAATACAATTAAAAACTGTTTAATATTGGTAATTTAGATAAGGTCACCAGGGCTGGGGAGATAGCTCAGCAGCATAAGCGCTTGCCTGACAAGCTCAAGGTCCCAAGTTTGATCCCCAGTACCACCAAAAAAACAAAACAAAACAGAAAAACCAACAAGGTCTCCAAAGTAGCAGAGTCATATTAATGCCTGTTCAATTATTTTTAAACAAGTACCAACAATTTAATACTCATAACAAATTCTTGATCATACCTACTTTGAAATGAGAGCCTCAGTTAGAAAAATAGATCAGATTCTCTTCCTAGCATGAGGGTACATCATTTTAACTATGAAATATAGGTAAAACATGGCTTAAGAATATAGGCCACCCTCAACAAGACTCTAGAAGTCAGAAGATGAGAACACTATAGAAGTAACACATTCTGAGATTTCTAACCATACAGCATAAGAGAAAAGTGGTGTAATATTTCTTCTTTTTGATACTTAAGAGTTCCCAGCAAAAGACTTATTAGACACTCACGGATCAACACTCTTTGCTATAGCAGCCATGATAAAGAGAACCGCTTCTGTCACCTCCCAGGGTGGATTGCCTTCTTTCAGAGTAGAATATAACTAGAGAAGAAGAGTTGCATTATAGATCCATTAAAAGGAAAACAATTCCAAAGCAAATAAAAATTTTAAAATGCAGTTAGAAAAAAAATCCAGCTCCCTGTTTCTAAATCTCATTATCTCTCAGGGCCACATAAGAATATTATTTTCATTTTTCACATCCTCATTAACTAGAATAATTATTTTAATGTTTGAAATAAATCCATTTAGATTCCAAAGAATTTAATCAAGATCATCATCTGCCCCCAGAAAATGAATATTATAGAAAAATAAAACACATTACACAAGTCTTTTTCCTGGTCCTAACAGCTGATAAATACAAAAGCACACTTAAAATGAGGACACATGTAAATCCTCTACATGTATATTACCTTTACTTTTCTATTGTTTTAATTATTTGTCTGCATCAATACTGGCAGTACAGTTTCAGTTCCTATAAAAGCTGCTTAGAAGACGTACAAGCAGATTTTTTTTTAACAAAAGAGATACCTAGCCTCATTAGAATACAATCTACCAACACAAAAATCACCTCAAATTATGCTAACGGTAATGATGTGAAATAAGACTGCAACTGATTGTCAGGAAAACCAAGACTATAAATTCCATATTTCTAGGATGAAACTGTACAGGGAAGAAAAAGTAAATGCCAAATAACCAGAAGAGTTGACAAGAGCAGGTATAAAATTATTAAAGCACAACAACTTGCTTATTTGTCCTGGCTAGGTCCAAATTCCCTGTAAGTATCCTGGAGGCTTCAGTTCTTATTTATCATCTTCTATTCCAGCTGTACCAGGGAACAGCTATCACTAGCAAGTGTAACAGACTACACTATCACTAAATTACCTATGGACTGTAATTGGATTGATACTGAATAAACATAGCTACTATATGCCAGGCAATGTGGTAGGCACCTGCGTACCTATAATTCCATTTAGCCACTGAACTTGAAGAAAAGAAATGGAACATTTATAGAAGGCCTAGGGGTGATCAATAAAATTGGCTCAAGACCTCCACAGGAGCTTACCTGAGCAAAACATTCCATTGACCCAATCAAGAAAATCAAGTCCTTCACCAGGTCTGATACCCTCATCCGAAACTCTCCAAAGTCATCAGTTTCCTCAGGAACCCCCTCCTGAAAATTTAAATCAGGTAACATTTAATTTAAACTGACAGAGGCTTTCAATGACTACTATCAAATCAACAGAACAACATGCCATTAAGCAGTTATAACCCAATGAACCAAAGCTGCCTAAAACATAAGTATATTTTATGACAGGGGAACACGGTCTCCCAAACTGTTGGGTATGCTGAATCAAAACCACCTGTTCTCTACGTTTACTATGAGAAACTCTTCAGTTCATATGTGTGTCTTCTTTATCTCTCCAAGCTGTATCTCTTTTATGTGTGGAAAAATGTAGGGTAGTAGAAGTGAGAAGCAACCTGGAAAAAGTGCTAATTATAAGCCTATCTAGGGTCAACTCTTTAGTACCAAACAAGTCTCTGAAGCTTTGCTGTTCAAAATCTTCCAAATCAACCATTATCACAACAACTTCTAAAAGAAAATAGAATTATATATAAATCCTTCCTATCACAATATATTTATGTATGTAAAGTATTAGCAATTAATGTTCAGATAGAGCCTATATGAGAATCCTAGGTTATACCTGGAAAAAGCCCTTAGTACTACTGAGAACTGATCTGGTTCAACTTTACTTTTTTTTTTTAATTCATTCATTCATTCATTCATTCATTCATTCATCCACCCATCCATCCATTTGGTACAGAGGTCTCCCTACACAGCTCAGACTTGTAGTGATCTTCCTGTGTCAGCCTCCCCAGCACTGGGATTATAGGCATGTGCCCAGTTTTCTATGGCTGACACGGCATGCAGTACTGGCGATCCAACCTGGGTCCCTGTGCTTGCCAGGCAGGCACTCAGACCACTGAGTCATCTCTCCAGGCCCTCAATCTTACTCTTAAAACAAAAAAATTAAAGTCAAAGAATATGGAGGGAATGATGGTTGTCTCAGATGAAATGATGGATGAATTTATAAAGTACTATATAAATTATATAGCATAACAAGTATAAGAAAATACCTTGAAGGGAAATGGTACCAACGAACTATCAAAGGAATAAACAGCATCATTTAAACCAGAGCAGGGCTGGAGAGATGGCTCAGTGGTCTAAAGCACCTACTTGGAGCAAGCTTAGCAAAGCACAGAGACCTGGGATCGATCCCCCAGCACCACATGCCTGCCAGCCTCGCCCCCTGGTGGGCTGAGCTCCCCCCCCCCACTAAATAAACGTAATAAATAAATAAATTTAAAAAAAATTAAAAAAATTAAAAAAACCAGAGCAGGCCTACTTTTACTTATGTGTTAGTCTTTTAAAATAGAAAGATAGGATTCTGTAGTTTTTTCTTTTTTTTTTAATTAAGGTGGTGGATACATGGTTTGAAAAACCATTTGACCAGGTCATCACTAAGATTCTAAAGTGATATATAACGCCATGACTCAAATATAATAACTAAAATTCAAATTAAGACTATGACATGTCAGATTTATTTACAAGCAATTAAATTTGCTCCTGGTCCTAGATTTAATGAAAAGACAAAATGAAGTAAAATTTGAAGAAATCCAAGAAGGTTGAAGGAAGGTCTTGTAATGGACCTTTTTTTTTTTTTTTTTTTAAATTTATTTATTTATTTTGTGTCTGTGTGTGGCCAGCTCAGCCCACCAGGGGGCGGGGCGGGCTGGCATGTGGTGCTGGGGGATTGAACCGCAGGCCCTGTGCTTTGCTTAGCTTAGCTCGTTCTAAGTAGGTGCTTTAGACCACTGAGCCATCTCACCAGCCCCATTGTAATGGACTTTTAAAATAAAATTTCTAGAGCTAGGGAGACAACTCGGTGGTTTAAGCACCTGCCTGGCAAGTGCAAGGATCCTGGGTACTGCATGGCATACTGGCCCTGGAACTCCAGGTGTGCCATGGTGGTGCACGCCTGTAATCACAGTACTGGGGAAGCTGAGACAGAAGGATCACTGATTCTGAGCTGTATAGCAAGACCCATACGAAATAAATTTAAAAAAATATTTAAAATTTCTAGAAACTGCTTTTCTTCAAAGCATATGGATTATTTCTATATTTTTAAAAATTATAAAATCATTGTAAATAATACAAAGATATATATATTATATATATAATACACACACACACACAGAGATGGAACCACATGTAATTTTTAACATCCTTACACAAGCATGTCATTTTTGTATTAGTTTTAAAGATATATATTACACTATTAAAAACATATTAACTATTAAAAGCATATTATACTATTAAAAATCTACATTCTGATTTTTTTTCTTACCCAACTATTACTATTTCAGTAGTCATCAGTAATTTTAGTGGACAGTGGTTCAGCAAAGTGCTACATCATAATTTGTCTCTCTTACATTGTTACACATGGTTTACCAATTTTCTTTCTTTCTTTCTCTTTTTTTTTTTGGCCAGCTCAGCCTGCCCTGGGGGTGGGGCTGGCGAGGCACGTGGTACCACAATGGACCAAACTGTGGTCCCTGGGCTTGCCTAAGCAGGCACTTTAGACCACTGAGCTATCTCACCAGTCCTAATTTTTATTTTTATAAGTAATACAAAATAGCTATTTTTTCATTTGCAGAACTACTAAGATAGATTCCTGGATAAGAACTGGCTCAGCAGGACCAATATTTTTTGTATGTCAGCCTACTCTTTGTTGTATAGGTACTGACTTCTTCACTGAAAGCTTAAGTGGCAAAATCTGAAGATTCTATTAGCTCTAATTTTCTCAAGTTAGTACTGAAATGAGCAAATTAAGATTTGAAGAAGTGACCTTGGCAGATACAAAAGTTACATTTCTTGTTATACAGGTCTTGCTTTATCTTGGTCTTAACCATCCAACAGAAAAATATAAAAACAAGGTATAAAAAGTAAAGTCATATTAATATGCTGAGCTGTAAAAGGCTCAAGTCAACAGCTTCTGACATTGCCAGTCCTATGGATAACCCACTACTATTATGGACTACTGGACTATATTGGATTATTTTGCTCAATTCATGCACCTACAATATTTAAATGGCAATGGAATACCCATCTCTGGCAAAACTAAATGAAAAAAAAAAGGGGGGGGATACAAATAAAGGACCATTTTGTATCTGTACATACAAAATAGTTAGGAAAGATACATAGCTACTTTCTCTTAATTCAATGAGAAGCAAGATTTGTATTGGGCTGGGGGGATAGCTCAGTAGAGTAAGCGCCTGCCTGGCAAGTGCAAGGGCCTGAGTTCAATTCCCAGTTCCGCCAAAAAAAATTAAAAATTTTAAAAAAGGAAAGATTTGTATTAATAGTGTTTGGACAGGATATAATGTCTGCATCTTGTACTATGAATAACCACTAAGAAGACAACAATATGCAATATATTAATTATTGTAACTGTCCTACCGACCTGTTTTGAAACTATGTGTTTCTCAATAAAATTTAAAAAAAAAAGAGAGAAGTGAACTTACATGGTCTGGTTCCAGCTGGCAGTGTCGAGCCAAGGCATGAAGCAGCCTCTGAATATAAGCCTTGAAGATTCCATGTATGACCTCATCATTAGTTTTGTACAAATGCTCTCCTAGTCGGTACCAAAAATTAAAGGAAATTTCTACTACCTGTCAGATTAAAAAGAGAAAGCATGGTTTATTTTAATAAGAAAATGACTAAGAAGGGCCGGCGATATAGCTCAGTGGACTAAGTGCTTGCTTAGGTAAGCACAGGGGCCAGGGTTTGATCCCCGGCATCTCATGCTGTGCTGGCCCTGCCCCCAGGCACGCTGAGCCAGCAATGGAGTCCAGACATTGTAGTGCACACCTGTAATCCCAACCCCAGCCTAGGGAGGCAGAAAACACTTGGATCACTAAGTCCAAGTTGTGTAGTAAGATCCTGGGCGCGTATGCACACACACACAAACTTAAAAAAAAAAAAAAAAAAAAAAAAAAAAAAGAAAAGGACTAAAAGGATGGTTTTATTATTATTACTAAAGCCATATGGGAAAGAAGATGCATTTTTCTGCACTTTTTAATTTAATTTAATTTTATTTTTTTGGTACCAACGATCGAACTCAGGACCTTCCACTGAGCTATCTCCCTGGCCCTAGAAGATGCATTTTTATACATAAGGAGAACCAGTTAAAAAGCCACTTTTCCTCTAGTAAGATTATCTTATACCCTCACATATCTCTCTGTATTAGTCCCAATGGCTTTACACTTCCTATTGGGACAACTTCCTCCAAAGTATAATGGATTTTTAAAATTTATTTTATTTTTGAGACAGTTTCACTACACAGCTCAGGCTGGCCTTAAGCTCACTTTGTAGGACAGGCTAGTCTCAGATCCTCCTGCCTCAGCCTCCCAAATGATAGGATTACAGGTATGAACCACCATGCCCAGCAGGATTTTGTGTGTGTGTGTGTGTATTTTAGAGAAGGTTCTACAGGGTGTTCAGGGTCTCACTACTAGATTGGATTCTAGCGATCCATGATCCGCAATCCGATCCATGATCCGCAATCCGTCTGTTTACAGCCTCCCAAGAGCTGGGATTACAGGCACACGCCACCCATGCCCAGTCTCAACCACCTATCGAAGTGTGCCCTGGGGGCGGGGCCAGCAGGGCAGGCCTGGGAATTGAACCAGCCCCTGTACCTGCTTGCAGGCGCTTTAATCTGCTGAGCTATTTGGTTAGCCCAGGATAATGTATTGTGAATTTAAATAAACTGATACAGAAATGTGTTGTTTTTTTTTATTTTAAAGTCTTTCAAAACTTTTTCTGAAATTCTGTAATTATTTCATTATATACTTGAGATTAGAATACTTACCAGGCAAGCTATCTATCTGTAAATCTCTGAATATAACTTAACAAGCCTCATGTTAATTTCATTTGCCTTCTTTTTCTTTTGGGGCCAGGAAGATGGCTCAGTAGAATAAGCGCTTGCCTGGCAAGTGCAAGGGCCTGAGTTCAATCCCTGGTTCCAAAAAAACAAAACACTTCACGAATTTGCGTGTTATCCTTGCGCAGGGGCCATGCTAATCTTCTCTGTATCGTTCCAATTTTAGTATATGTGCTGCCAAAGCGAGCACCAAAAAAACAAAACAAACCAAAAAAACTTCATTTGCCTCCTTTCATGGGTAGAAGACAAAGGGAGAGAAAATCCTTTTTAAAGCAAAATTTAAAAAAATATATTTATCTATTTATTTAGTACAAAGTCTCCCTATGCAGCTAGCTTAGACTGGTAGTGATCTTCCTGTCTCAGCCTCCCCAGCACTGGGATTACAGGTGTGTGCCACCACGGGGTACCTGGGTTTTGGGTCAGCATGGCATTCAGTACCAGGGAACGAACCTGGGTCATTGTGCTTGCCAGGCAGGTATTTAGACCGTCAAAGCTATGTCGCAAGCCCTTCCTTTTTATTTATCTCAGCAATTGTGTAACAATAAAGAAAAGCAAAGAAATACAGTATAATTTTTAGCTGTTAAGCTCTACAGAATCGAGCTAGAAAGGGGCTTAGTGGAAAGGCTTCTTTCTAATAGATTCTTTGAGAATCTATTTGAGAATTACCAAGTTAACCCACCTAATCAAGTAAGAAAATAGAAAATTCCCACACAGACATAATTCCTACATCACAGTAACTAAAACCAAGACCAATTTCTCAAAAGCACATGTAGGGCATGAAGAAATGAAATAAAGACAACATGGAATATACAGCTTAGTAAAATGTGGCCTCAGTACAGCACTGACATCACCTCGTATTGAGGATGCCCTGCACAGATCAGAAGCAATTCCAGAGTTCGCAGATCTCCAAGACCTTGGCCTGGACTACAAACAATTTTTTCAAGAAAAGTTTCACATAGTTCAGTGAAAATACGGCAGTAATTCAGAACTCTGTAGAAAAAAGAGATTAAGAGCAGCAAGTCAGAAATCTGGATACTGTATATACTCACAGACACCATAAATCAAATGAATAAAAGATTTCTCAGCCTAAGAAATTATCCAGTATGCTATATCACAGCATCCACAATAGACACCTGTATGTAGATCAGCTACCTCTATATAGATAAGCAAGTGACTGGCAAGTCAGTTCAAATTCTCCATTACTAAAATAGTTCAATATAAATTCCCATCAAATTACAATTGGTGTTTTAAAGTTTACCTTTAATTCTTCAACTGTATCTTTTGTAAGTACAAAAATTAATACTTTCCATAACTGGTAACTCCAACCTCTCCTATATCCAATTTGGCACTCTAGGTTTGGATGAGAATAACAGAACATAGAATATACTTTTTTTTTTTTTTTTTTTTTTTTATGGTACCGAGGATTAAACTCAGGACCTCGTGCTTGCCAGGCAAGCACTTATTCTACTGAGCTATCTCCCTGGCCCAGAATACACTATTTTTATATTTAAACAGAACCACTAAGAATCACAAGTGATAGCTATACAATGAAGTGACTTAACCAAAGCTTAGGAATGTAGCTCATGATAGAGTGCTTACTTACTAAAGCATTCTGCATGTGTGAGGCCCTGGGCTCAATTCTCAACACACAAAAACTAAAAAAATCTTAAATGTGACTTAAAAGAACAGCAGACTGCAGATAAACCCAGAGGTCCAGCTTTAGTTACTCACTTGTCTAAATCTTCACGAGCCACAGCCATGTGATAGGCAGTCTCCAACGTCAGGACTCCCTGAAAGAGTTGCATGGCTAACGGCAAATTAGTCTCCACATTCTCTATGGCATACAGAGCTGAGCACACACAGTCTGAAGCAGCTTCATGTAGGTTGGATGAGGTTTTATCCTGTTGCTGGGCGGCACAGAGAGATAAGAAATATGAGCATAGTAATCCAAGTAACAGGAAAACCATCACAGCTTTTTCTGGATATGTACTTTAAGAACGTAACAGCCCAGAAGTCCTGGCTTTCCACAGGACACAATCATCAATCTTCCCAATATTACTGTTATTTTCCTGTATGTCACACAAATCAGACATTTTTTTT